GCAGACAGAGCTGGGGACGCTGAGGAATGCGGAGCCGAGATTTTGTCTTCTTCAGTTCACCTGCGGAACTCTTCGCAGCTCACACCAAAGTAAGTAACGTCGCTGTGGGATTCCGCAAAGAGCGAAATCACAATGTCAAGCAGTATTTCGAGAAATCTACAGTGTCACTCCGGGCTACTTTGTAGTGCTTTCGTGATGGCATCACCGTGTACTGATCCTGTGTCCTGCATTTTGTATCCGTGACCTTGTCAGACTAACAGAAGCGCACGTTGATATTCTTATCCTAAAACACTATTTTCAAATTGGCCGCAAAGTGACATCTGCTGATTCTTTGTATCGCTTTGTTGTATCATAAATAGAAAACTGGGCAGGCTGAATAAAGAAAGGGTCAGTAGACTCCATAACCTTATCCACATGTTTTCATTCACCAGAAGACCAACGCTGTCGGTGAGCTCGCAAGGCGCCATGCTGAGACAGATCCTCCTCAACTCCACCGACACCCCAGACTTCGACCTGGTGCTCGTGGCACAATCCACCACACACGCCCCCTCCTCCCTGAATGCCTCCCACGGGGGCTCTGTAAGCGTGGATGCACTCCTGAGACCCACCACGGGAAGAGGGGGAGGAGGACTCCGGGAGGGCGAGCTCCACAAACCGGACCTGATCACCTACATAGTCATGTGCCTGCTGCTTTTCCTGTTGGTGCTGCTTATTGTGTTCTTCATCAACTGTCAGCTCCGGAACTCTTTCTTCGCCTCCATGCCATATGACAGATCACTGAGAGAGGCTCGGACCTCCTACAAGTAGGCCAGATCCCAAAGGTCCAATTTCTTGGATTACTGGTATTTAGAGAGACTCGTGTCAGGGGGGTTAAGGACGACCTATGAACTGCTGCTGCTGCACATACAGTATTGGACAAATGAAGTTGTTGCCTTTGTTAGCTGTCTTGGACAACCTAAGGCCTCAGTAACCTGGAATCTGTTCAGTCAAATACTTGTTTATGTTATATGATGCCACGTGCTTAGTTATAAGACTCATGATACCAAATCAAAAAGATGGCAAAGAGGAGTGCAGGTCTACGGCTGGTGGAAGGATAAGTGGCCAATCATTCCTGTTCTAATTAGAGACCCACAACCTTGTAGTTACTGATAAATAATTGCTGAAACCTTCTTGTGCACAAAGCGTAATCAATACTATTCCTTTACAGCTATGCTCCCAAGCTTGTGTTACCTCATTTTATTGGCTTCACATTTTGGCACTGACTATGTGGAAGTGAACCTCTCTCTTTCTCTCCCCATCTCTCTCTTGATTTGATTTGTCTAATTAAAATATGTTTCACTTTGCCAACATAGAAATGATCTATACAGTAGTCTGTATGTGAAATACTTTGTAAGACTGTAACTTAACTGTCTTGTCTTGTGAAACGAAACAGTCACCAGACGATTTCCAACCTTTTGTCCATTGTAAAATTATCAAATGCCAGATCGTTGACCTATAGCGTCGCATAAAGATATTCAAATGTATTCTGAAGTGGCAATATTCTCGTCTGTACGCCTGTAAATGAATAGCAAAGCTGAAAACGATGCTGCAGCGGCCGATGTGAAGGGCCAACTGTTTATCATCCAAAGCGTCCGTAGAGGGGCTTTTACGAGTGCCACAGGGCTGCTATTCTTATCGTGCACCTTCACTTTTAATTAACCTTTCTCTCGCAATTTATAGCTCTAATATTCTGAAGAATGAAGACTCGAGGCTGAAAAGTATGGCGAGTCCTTTGCGATAAACCAAACTGTTGTCTGCTTCAGTGCCACTGGTAATGCGCAAATCCTCACCAATCCTGTTGTTGGAAAACATCTCTCACATACCAGAACAGCTAAAACGAGCCTATCTCTGTAATCCTGTGCCCGCGCGCGTGTGAGTGTACTTGTGCGCGTGTAATGTGCGCGCAGGTTTATGCAAGTCCGAGTGCTGAATTTCAAGTGTTGGGGTTTATATCTCAAAATAACCCAAGCCAGGGAAACTTAAATGTTTATCTTTAGTATATTCAGTCAGTGTTTACTGAATGCTTCGTTTGAGATGCGAAACTGCGCTGGAGAGCTAAACGTGGTGACTATTTTTGTCTGTGGTGCAGCCCTGAAATCACACCATGTAAGTGGGAGACAGAAGGCCAAATTTGCTCAGCGTTGTGCTTATTTGGAAGATTCTGTGAAAAAAAGAAAAGAAAAAAGAATAGGGCAATTATTTAGCACACTCAGAAAATTGGTTATATTCCTTCCTTATGCAGTGATTCCCTGCACATGCATTGTGTATCTATTTTCTAATCATTGCCCTGTGTCAATTGCATTTGTGTATGAAAAGAAATCAAAAATCAAAAACAGTACAGGGCAGGAAACACCACAATTGCTTTCTACTAGTCAATTAACTTTCTCTGACTAGCCGTAGCCTATTGACTCTGGTCACACACTACAGCGCCTGAAGTTGACATTTTGTACCGCTAGGTGGAGCTCCTAGTCTGGGTAGTTGTATGCACAATGTGGTTACGAAGCAAAAAAAAAAGCAAAAAGAAAGCAACAAGCAGAGGACCAAAGACGACGTCATTAACCAAATTCTGTTTTAGATCCAGCCTGTGGGACTAAGATGAGCTACCTGCGATTAACAAAGAATGTGCATCAATAAAAGAGTAAGTAACAGTTTTTAGGTCAGTCCTACACCTAGATTTTCAAAGACTTAGAATTATGATATAAATATAACCCCCTAAAAGAACACTGAGTTTTCAGGCTACATGAAATTCAGTAGATTTTACTGGAGAAAAAAAAAGTTCTTTCATACCTCTCTTGAACCGATTTAGTGCTCGACTGTAACACTACTTACACTTACAAGACACTTCATTCAGAACACCTTGTTAGTGCTGGTTTACATCCCCCTTTTGCTTTTAGAACTGACTGAGCCGTTGGTACAAGACACGATGGTTTAATTTCCTGTACACCAAACTGGGACTCGACCATCTTCTATAGCCTCGGTTGCCTAAAGCTTCAGTGTGGTACACAGTGTGGTCTTCTGTGCAGGTGTTTAAAGGTCCAGTGTGCTGTGCATTCAGAAATGTTCTTTTGAATACTTTGTAACAAGTGATTATTTGAATTACTGTTTCCTTCCTATCAGCTTCAAGCAGCATGACCATCCTCTGACCTCTAGCATCAACAAGACATTTTCACCCAGAGAACTACCACTCTGACCATTCTCTGGCAATCATGGCACATTCAAACTTCCTTAAATTACCTTTCTTCCAAATTCTGATGCTCAGTTTGAACTTCAGCAGGTCGTCTTTAATATAAATGCATTGAGCTACATTGTGTCACACACGCACATACACACAAACACTAATATATATAATTCCAAATGTAATATATAATAATTCCATTATATATATCTTGTTCATATTCTGAGGTAGGCTTGGGTAGCATGGGGGCCTAGTGTTAGTGCTCATACAAGAGGGCCTCAGAGTATTAACTACTCCACCACATCGAAAGGAGCCAGTTGATGTGCTTCAGGCATCGGAGTAGCCGCCTCTTGGATACCTTCCCCAGATGAATTGGAGAATAGGGTCTTGGCTTCTCTGCTTAGGTTTCTCCCCCCTGTGACACGGCAACAGATAAGCATAAGAAAATATATGTATAATGTCTTTATAGTTTGTTTCCAATAATTGAGGCTTTCTTGTAATGTTTTTTAAAATGGTCATAAGCAATAATTCACCAGACATTTTTAATTTCTTTCAAAGATTTCCTTTCAACTTTTTGTATTTTATTTATTTATTTTATTAATTTTTAGTCCACATCATCACCAGACAATTTTTAAGCCACTTAAAGCTGACCTGAGAATCATTCAAGGGTAACAGGCAGCTAATCCAAGGGGTGAAACTGTGTTGTCTACACATAACAGAGAACAGAGAAAATAACTAAAAATTGTATTGTTAGGCACTTTGTTACTTGCAGCCTACTGAAAGAATCTATAAGTTTGTTTTTAGCAACAAGGTGATTTTACCAAGAGCTATTAGTCAAAAACTTGCCGTGTCTAAGAATGGTGTGCAGTGTGTGCTTAAAAAATTTGAGGTAACTGAACAAGTGGAGAAAGAAGTTGCAAAAAAAGAAGTCATCAAAATGATCTCAGTGGAAAGGTATCATTTTTAAGTAAGAAAACACACATAAAAGGCTGAGGAATGTCAAATGTAGAAGTGGAAGAGTGAGTGTCCACATCCAAGTGTAAAAGTCAGTGAAGGCTGTCATGGTTGGGGGATGCATTTCTGCCAGTGGTATTGGAAAATTTTGTCAAAACATTTGTAATTTTAAATGCTTGATTGTGTGATTGCTTCATTACTTCAACATTGTTGAAGCAGTGTGGGATCATCTTGACAGACAATTGAACAAAAGGCAGCCAATCCAAACACAAGCTTTGGATAGCATCCTTTAACAAGCCTGGACAGAGACTAAATTTAATTTTAAAGAAATTACATAAAGAAAATAACTGTATAAAAGTTAAAGCTGTGTTGAAATATAAAGGTGGTCATACTAAGCATTGATTGTCAAGCTTGTTAGAATTGTACACATGATCGTGTTGCCTTATATACTGTACTTCCATCTACATTTGCACATATTTTAATAGATTTCTGCACATATTTTCCTAGCAAAACATTAAGAACTGACGGTTGGCTAAAGACTTTCGCACAACACTGTATAGAAAAGCCTGAACTTTCTTGCATTCTACAGTATACATAAAAAAAGCTAATTAAAGTAATTAGATAAAAGTAAGGTTCCATTTATGACACAAACACAGCTGTGTCTGCTCCCGTCTTTGTCATGTAAATATTTCACCGGTTATTAGTCTCAACTTGCACGGCATGCCTGGAAACTGTCTAGCCGATCAGCTGCATGCGGTGGAGTTAGAGCTGTCAGATAAATCCTCTCAGGTGAAGCGGCAGAACACAGGCTCCTCCCCCCCTCCAACTACTGCAGAGCGGACTGTCAGAAGAACAGGAAGACGCCTTTATTGCTAAAGACGTACTTGCTTCCCCTCTGTCAACCAGGGGTTAAAAAGTTACTAACTTCTAACAGCCATGGAAACAAATTGAGGACACACCGTCGACCTAGGTCATTGATAACACCAATTTAGCGCTCGCGCTGTGGTCGTCGAAACAACTCGTGGATAGCGGAAAGAGTTTTTTTGTTTTGTGTTTTCCTTTACCTAACTGTTACAAGCTAGCCTAGCTGAAGCTAAGGTTAGCTCAGATAGTACCGCATACATTCAGGACCTAAAATCCACGTTTCTAAAAACTTGGACTTGTGTTGCATGTGGGAAATAATAGAGTGGCGTCCTCACTTTGTATTTTATTAACGCAACAGGTTGTTTTCGTACTTTTCGTCTCGAGGAGTTGTGTTGGGCTGTGCTTTGAATTTCCCTCCTCCAGTGATACCGAGAGGCGGCTTAAACAGGGGCTCGTTTTGTCTGTTGGCTTTCTACCAAATTATTAGCAGCACTGCGCTAATTGTAGCTAGTTAGCCTGGGCACTAGCCTAGGCCCCTGGGAATTAGGAGTTGGCATTTTCCATTGACGTTTAAAATCTAAAAAAAAGGATTACTGTTCCACTTGTTTATTTTGACATCCAATTCAAGGAAACGGATTAAAAGCTAGAAATATGGATCACCAGACGGGGAGTTCTGCCTCAGCTGCTGGTCCCAAGAAGGACAAGAAATCAAAGAAGAGCTACGATGATGGAGATGGAAAAAAGAAATTTGTGAGTATCCCACTGGTTCAACTTCCTGCACCTTTATCATGTAACCATCAGTGGGGGTGGGCACCAAACTGCTGCAGTAAACCACTGATTGTCTTCCTCTAAAGTTTTAAGTAAAGCTACAAAGCGGCGAGCTGACACCGTACCTGTAATTACTTTCGCCCCTTGGAGCTGGCTTCTCACCAGCTGTCAGTGCAGCTTGAAATGGTGCTCAATAGGATTCACGACTGAGGTCAAAGTACTAGAAAGTCAGCATATGAGGAAGTAACTGGCACTTTAACTCCGAAGACATAAACTCTCCCATAAACCTTATATTTTGCAATCCCGACGAGCTCCCGGCAGCTCAAGCACCAAACCTTTCATTTGCACATGTGCAGTTAATAATTAGTGTTTTCTTCTGCAGTGGGTTTTATATATGGAGTTGCTATGTAAAGCAAAAGTATTTAAATAGAACTGTATAAGCGAATGAAATAACTTTGTGATAAGGTGGGGCTAAAATCTTCCCAAGGTGACTTAATCTAAATTACTTTAGGTGGTTTCTATTTGGCTTTGTCAGCATGTATGATTCAGCGTGGTGCGTGCCTGCCAGAGTTACCAGTAGTGATGTCTGTCATCAGCAAACTGTTTTGTAATAGAACACTTGGTCATGTCTAGCAACAGGTGAAACCCGATAGGGTGAAAAACGGTAACCATAGAGAATGCAGAGACCAAGTAAACGGTTAGTTTCAAAGAGTTTTCAGTCCATATTAGAGCCCACGTAATTAAATATTTGGTGCTTTAGAGCCAGGTGAAAGGAAAATGTTTCATAGAGCAGGTGTTCT